CGCTTTGAGCGCATCATGCAAAACCTGCATTTTACCGACAACACAGACCCGTGAGCTGAAACGGACCGCGCCTGGAAAGTCCGCTCCGTAGTGAACACGCTACAGCAGACGTTTGCAAGGGGATACAACGTTCCTCCCGTTGTGTCGTTCGACGAGGCCATGATTCCATCAAGAAGTCGTCACAACGTGACCAGGTAATTTATGAAGGACAAGCCCCACAAATGGGGCACGAAACTGTTTATGACATGCTGTGCTGACACAGCGTATTGTCTACGGTACGTAGTTTGACGGCCTCTATCGTGGAGTATTTTTTTTTTTGGCTAAGTCTCACATGTTGTATTTGTCTACCTCTGTATTGTTTGGAATGTTGTATTGTGCTGCATCTAAGTATTTTGTGGAACTAACCAGCCCTCAGACGAGCTCGGAGGTCAATCGACGACCCAATTTTCAGCAGACCCGAACTCTGGCCCTGCAGCGGTTATCCGTAATCTGCATGAAGTTCTTCCTGCCCCAGAAGAAGGTGTGTACCACGCTGTGGTGACGGATCGATTCTATACGTCGATTCAGTTAGCTTTGCAGCTCCTGGCTCGGAATGTATACACGGTTGGCACTATACAGCCAAACAAGAAAGGGTTTCCGCCAGCCCTCTTGACCAAAGCAGCAACATCGTCCAACTCATACCCCGCGCGGGACCAGCACGATCGCCGTCGCAAAGGACTGCGATCTCTACAGGTAATGCTTTGGTGGAACCGCTTCCTGTCTACATCTCTCGACTGGCAGCAGTACATCTATGAACTGCGGTAAGTTACTTTTGAGTCGTGTCTTAGTGACGACGAGCTTCCTAACTTATGCTGTTGTTGTTGTACCATCGAAGAGCGGCATCTACGTGGCGGCAGAAAGGAAATCATACCCTGCCCATCAGCGATGCGCGACTATCATCGCTGGATGGGCGGGGTTGATATCCACGACCAGCTAAGGCTACAGCGCTATTCGCTGCAACTCTCGGTGCGCTTTCGAAAGTACTACAAGACGGTCTTCTTAGGCCTAGTCGACATGGCACTCGTGAATGCCTATATCATTTTCCGTGAGGCTCGGAAAATGGTTGGTGAAGGTGCTGATCATGCCGAGTTTCTAGCAGAGTTACAGGCGCAGCTTTTGCAGGTCACTTCGGCTGACTTCATTGATGAGGTATATACTACATGTTTGCCGGCGATCATGTGGTAGATGTTGTATCGTATCTGACTCGTTTATTATCATGCAGACATTTTCTACAGCACCTTCCGACCAAAATGTGGCCTCGATATCAGCTGCCCACAAATTGACCGAGTTTCCAGAGTGGACCCAGATCCGGGAAGGTGTTCGGAAGAGGCCACAACACCAGTGCAAGGTCTGCTCGATTCGCAAGCAGAAGGTCGGCCAGCGCAGTGCAACGGGGTTCTATTGCGAGGCATGCAGCGACGGCAACAAGTAGTAAGTGTGACAGTGGCCTATGCAATCGTACTTTGACTAATTGTACTTCTTCATGCACAGTGTCTACCTCTGTGACCGAGTCCGGCCGGGCCACTACCCAGGAAACACCATGACATGCCACCCAATTCTGGCATGTCATGTGGTAGAACGGAGAGGAGCGGCCTCACCCTCGTGTTGGTCGTAAATTCCCAGATGCGCAGCCCGACAAAGAAGCGCCGACGCGCCGCTAGTGATACGGAAGAAGGCAGCGGCGCGGAGGAGGGAGGCGCTGGCAGCGGTACTGTGGAGGGGGGCGCTGGTTCCGAAGGCAGCGGTGCGGAGGAGGGAGGCGCTGGCAGCGGTACTGTGGAGGGGGGCGCTGGTTCCGACACTGATGTCGGCGCTGAAGAGAGAAGTGGTGGGGAGGGATGTGCTGGAGAGGACGATAGCGAGTAAGAGTGGGCTTGTCGATGAATACCTAACCTGATTCAATATAAATGTGTTGCAATCATTGATGACTGTACAGATAGCCATTGCGCTTCGTACATGGCATGTTCAAGCCCTGTAAAAGGGACACTTCTAATATGTTGGATATACGTCTTCTTCAGGTTTGTTGGCGCAGCGTGGGTGTCTTAGACAGCATGTGGCTACATAGCGCTGCGAACAAGCTCGCAATCAATGTATCACCGAGCGTCTGATCTTCCCGCAGTGCAGAAAACGTATTCGTACTTACGGAGGTCAATACAAAATTCAAGTTTAGCCTATTTTTAACATGTTGTATATACAACATGTGAGGTCGTAGACAGAAATTGAAAATAGCCGTAAGTGCGGGGGGGGGAAGGTTAATACAACTGCAATGTTATTAAGAAGTCAATGTAAAATAAATAATTGTATGGGATTCAAGGTCGTCGAGCAGTCAATTATTAAAAATACTTACACAATAAAATAGCAAAAATTGACTCGACAAAAAGCACTACGCGGACCGGCGATTCACAGCTTCACCATCAGTTTTCGCCGACCAAAAGCGCCTGTTGCCTTATCGCACAGGGATCACTTTGAGGCTGCTCTTTTTGATGATGAGAAAGAAGGCGCTTAGCCTGGGAGAAGATCCTCTCCACGCAGCTCGACGTAGGAGGAGTGAATAGCAGTAGAGGGTAGCTGGTACGTATGAGGGTAGCTGGTACTGTTAATGTGAGTAGTGAGCTGTACAATCATTCCAAAAAAAACTTATTCCTGAGAAAATTTGAAATACATTACTAAATTTTAAGTTTCACCGCTTCATAGTAAGTTATTTACGGGAACATTTTAATTTATTCCCAGTAGTAGTATTTATTCGGAGCCCCTGCTGTTAGGGACTGTTTCATTTAGTAACTTATTTCGGGATAGCGGTACTGGAGATATAAAACCAAATGAAACGGGTTCAGAATAAGCTTTTGTTTCGTCATAAGCGATTTCAGCTTCTAAAGAGTAACAAACACTTCCCACCGACCAACAGTCACGATCCAACAGAAGCCCGAGCGCCACCCGTCCCCGGTAGAAGACCAAAGGCTACCCGTACTAGGTACCAAACAGTCGATAGACGCTCTAGGACTACCCCGAGAGCCCCATCCCGCGCAATACTGAGAGGATACTGGTTTGCTTCATTGAGTTGCTTTGACACCCGTCAGAGATCTGAAGGCTACCAAGCGACAGCAACAAGGGCACGCACCGCGTTGACAAGCCCGAATGGAGTACAGCCGACGCGGCAAAGGAAGCAGCGCGCTAGTAATTGGACAGCAGCTGAGGTACAGAAGCGTGTTTTACACTGTCGATAATAATTTAAGAGCTAACTGTCGCATTACTCTTAATTCGACGATTGAGCTGCTGAAGCTTCGCTTTCGGACAGAAGATATTTTTGACAGGTTTGTTAAGCTAGGAACAAATTGACGAGAAGTCAAATTGGCAGTGTGGCATCGTCAAGATTAGGTACTGAACGAACTGGTATTCGTGTCAAAAGTCTGTAAAATGCTTACTGTTCAATACAAAGTAAGTTGAAGCTCAGTTGCCACATACTATAAACTGTGTTATTTGTAATTTGCTTACATGGTTTGCCGGTGGTTTCGAAACTAATGAAGAAGATACGCAAAGCAGCAATAAAACAGATGACATCACTCCTCTTCCTCCATATTGAGATACGATGCTCAAGTGTTTGGGGCCCTTTAGTGGTTTCAATGGAAATGCAATTGCGGACAGCGAGCACAGTCTTGCAACCCTCTGCTCTGCAGCAGTAGTCGAAGAGTCCATAGACGGCTTCCATAGTGACGATGCTAATCACGAATCGAATGAACAGCTTGGGAGCGACACACATCCTGCCACAGCTGCTCGAGACCAAAACAAGCGGCCTTCTGTCTTCTCTCCTGCCAAAAACACCCTTGCCAAGCGGTCCAAAAAGGACCAGGACTTGTCTACACTCGCGTCATCCGTCTCGTCGCTAGTGAGCCACATCGCGGGGAAGCCCGCGACGCCTGGCGCCAATGAGCTTGCAACAGCTCGAACCAAAGTAGTGTCGGTTCGTCAGAACATTATGGAAGTTGGAAATCGTGAGGCGGAATTAAAGACTAAGCTCGACGAAGTAGCAGATTAGGTTGCAGCATCTGTGACGAAAGCTATGCTGCAAAGTATTGCGTCCATAACGGAGCAAATGTGAGCTATATTATGGCTGCTGTCAAACGACCACTGAATGCACTAGCTTTCTAACGATACGCCTGTCCTGCACCAACTCTTCGTGAGAGTCCTCGTCGACTTGATACACCATCGAGACATCAGCGCTGTCGTTGTCGTGTCAAACCATTTCGTCCAGCATTCGGCTGTCCTATTCGTCGTTCACCAGTGTAGCCAAGACCACTAGTGAGTATTGCTCATACGTTAGAGCAAAATTGTGTAGCACAAAACAACTAGTGATTCCTTTTCCATCTTCCTCGTCACTGTTCATGTTGGTCTCGCGTCTTAGTATTCGGAAACGACCTTTAGCCGATCCAAAAATCATCTAGACGGCCATACGAGTTCTTGAGTGCGACTTGTTGAACTTGTTTATTACTGGGTTGTCGCGCTCGTTGTGTGCAAACGGGGTCAGTATGTACACACGTAAGGCATACCCGGCGTCTTCTGTTTTACACAGATTGGCCGTTGCAGCTACCAGAGCGGATTGAAAACACTATAATGCGCTGATGAACATCGACGATCGCCCTAGCATTGTAGGTAGGAAGCTCTTTTCTGCAGTACTACCCCCAGAAAGCCGCCGGACGAGAGCATCTAATTCGGGCTCCGTCAATACAACCTGCCACATTCGGAATTCCACACACACACTTTCAGAATCTGATGCTACCTCGGATCACTCACATGCACTTCTTGGGTAGAATATGAAGCGCTCTCGCTCTCGCTCACAATACAAAATGTAAATAATTCGAATTAATGCATAAGAACCTGTCGACTTATTAACACCTAACTTGTGGTACACGTCTCTAGACTCCCACGAGATCCAAGGTAGCAAAGTACAAAGGCAACCTTTTCTCTTAGTAAAAACGTTCGATTTTTTCCTAAGAAGTTCGGACCACCCTTATAATATATAGGCCATTTAGCTTCGATAAATACCACGGCTGCCTCAAAGCATCCTCACCCGACCCGAAAGACACTTCGAAAGCAAGTATCATCTAGCCGACAGTCGTAATTCTGCCTACCGAAATCTGTTCTTACCGTGTGAACTACCTCGTTGTTGTCCCGCATGCTTGTTCCATCAACCTCCAGTAGACGCACATATGCGCCTATTAGAGCACACACGACCACCGCAATTAGCTCGCTGTCCATCCTCAACGACGAATGCAAAGTGACTGGTGTCTTCGGAAAGCCTAGCTCTTCGTGACCAGCCATCGGATAACAATTTTAGCAGGTGATTTTGCTGGAATAACTTTATTCTGACTTTGGAGGTCAGGATAAAACATTTCCGAGAATATCTTCCAAGCCAGTGAAATCTTAGCATTTGCTCGAAGGGTTAGGTTAGAATACAATGATGAGGGGTGACCTCCGGAGTGCGTCGAAAGCTCTGTACGTACCTTTCGTAATACACGTGAACTCGTTAAAAGATCTTGTAGTCATCGCAGTGAGCCGGTAAGTTCTCTTGGAGTCCGAGACTGGAGCACGGCGTGCTTCTTTCGTGACCTTGGCCGGTGGTGGCCGACCTTTGTAGAGCGGAGAGCATGTATAAGGCGCTGGTGTTGGGCGTAAGAAAGGCGGACGAGACGGCGCCATATCTCTGGACGTCCTTCACTCAAACACGATGCTTCTGAGGACCAAAATAACACGAACAGCACACTGCCTAACCACGGGTTTCGACAAAAGCTGCATCAGTACGTGTGTCGATATAAAACGTGGTTTGATCATCCTGAGCGTTGTACAAAGTACACCTTGGGTAGACCTTTGGTGTACCCAATGGGTACTATCCATGCGCGTCGTATTTCGGGTCAGAAGATATTTCGGGTCACCCGCTCCACATGTCAGAAACAAAATCAAGTAGGCTCTAAGACGATCACTGATTGCGCTAATATTGTCCTATCAGGCGGCGGAGCCGTAGGAATTGATAGCCGAAATCACCCTCTTCTCAACGAGCCATTGCGCAATCTCCCCAGCCCCACAAAAGTCTCACAATCCCCCCCCCCCTTAAGTCGATGAAGACGTCCTCTCGAGAAGAGGGGGTCAGCGATGACAGCAGTTAGAGATGGCATGAGCATTTGTGTTGCGTCTAAAGTCTACAAAGAGTCCCGCGAGCCCCTCTGAATGCGCATTCTTGGACTCATGCCTCGTACAGGCCCACAGCTCCGGTACATCTCAGACGGCGGAGACAGAGGACTTGTCGAGACAATCGAGTTTCGGGCACTGCAAGGAATGTGCGTCGGATAGGATGAGTTGTGCTGCATGATGCGTGAAGCCGCGGAGATGACTGGAACCCTCCCCCTCTCATACGATTTTCCCAATGACACTTAAGTAGCGCGCTGGTTAGCACGGTACCCGCAGCTAACTTCTCGGCGATCACAGTTATTGGATGTAAAGCGAGCAGAGGTTTCAGCTCCAGATCATGTATTGCACTATTTCAATAACCCCAAGGCTCTCCTTCTGAAGTTTAACCTGACCGACAAACCCAAGCGTATCTAGAACTACGACGAGATCGGTATATGCCCTCAAGGCCATGGCGGAGAACGAATTATTTGCCCGAAAGGATTAAGGGAAAATATTCAGCGATCCAGTGACCGTGAGAACACGAGTGTAATGTCCTGCGTTAGCGCGTCTGGTGAACGCATACCGCCTATTTAGATTTTCTCGGGGAAATACAGGAAAGTGGAATGGATGGAGAAGGCGGAGAAGACTGCTGTGTGTGCCATGAGCGACAGTTCCAACATCAATGGAGCATTGTTTCTTTATTGGTTCAAATGGCTCGAAAGTCTCCCGCCGCCAGAGCGAACACAAAAATTGCTGCTTGACCGTCATTTTGCTCACATCAATTTGAAAGCCGTCAAATACGGCTCAGATCGTGATGTTCACCTCTTCGTCCTGCCTGCACACACATCGCATTTTCTACAGCCATTGGATGTGGCCGTATACGGCTTTTTTAAGCGTTATTATGAGAGGGTTTAAAAAAATCCCTGCGCTGAATCCTAACCGATTTCCTATCAAAGACGATATCGCTGGCATTGCCCGCGACCCACTTATCCGAGCATGCTGCCCTGATAATACCAATGCGGGATTTGAACTGGCAAGTATCGCTACGCTATCGATTGATGTCATGCTGATAAAACTTATTGGTAACGAACCCGTTGTAGCACGCGACAAGCTTCCGCATCTGTCGATAATGTTGGGGCAAGCTGACCTCCCGCGCCGTTGTTGAAAGCTACGGATCGCCTGAAGCGCGTCATGAGGGATCTAGACTTCAACGTGGATGCGCTCAGCGTTGTAAATCTGTTGTTTATGTCGCTTCAGTCCAGCAGAAGCGGAAGAGAGGAACATGGATAAATGAGAACTCTTCTGGCGGTCAGTTGCTATCCTACAAGATTATAACTGCCGCAGTTGAAGCAAAGCCGCTGCTAAAGCTGTTCAACAGGTAAACAGTAGATCTACACCAGGCGAACGAAACGCGATGAGCGTACATGACAAAGCAGAACAGCTAACGGAGAAATCAAAACGGAAGCTAAAAAAGAAGAAGAGAGAATCGCACGGGTGATTAAAAACTGAAAGCTAAGGATGAGCTACTGCCCAAGCAAAAAAAGTTCAGCGCGCATGATGAAGAAGAGAATCGAATCGTCTAAACCGACAGGCAAGACTGCAGATGTCGTAATGTCGGCGCTTGTATAGTGTGCCATCAATTGCTTAGGTACGGTACTTCATTCTAAAATAAATTGACCCAAAACATGCGGTGTGGGGTTTTGGATTCTTAGGCCCGTTGTTAACCAATATCACTATAATAGTGGACAGACTTCCTTCGTGGATAGCGTTTTTTCTACACCAGGTTGGCTGTCAACGATATATACAGAAGTGGACTCCTTGGTTGATAATGCCAGTTCAAACCGAGTCGGGATGGTTGACATCTATAAAAGTAAGTTTTTTTTTTACCAAAATTAGTTTTCTTGCACTCAACTTCAAAAGACCCATGACCTTACTAAGCATGTACAGGACCTCCGCAGATGATGTCGCTACAGTTCTATGTGTTCGCCAACAATCACAAGCACGCCTCGCACTGCTACTGTGCATTCTGTTGAGGCGCTCCCGTGGTACCAGACACTCTCGCCGTCATTGTTGCCAGACTATTTTGAACTTGTGAAGGCAGTATTGTAACGAGAGCTCACATCCTTCCACATTTCACGCAGCTTCCCGGTATCATGATAAATATTATTCCCGGGATTACATTTAGAGAAAGTCACCAACTCAGAGCCGAGCTTGGCATATTCCGGACGTAGAGTGAGAAATTCTTCATGGATTTGTACCCAAACGGAAGAGCTTGCTTGTGTTTGACTCGTGTCGAGTTTAGCACGTGTAGGTCGTTGGTCCAACTCAGGTAAACGATGAGTGAAACAATCCGAAAACATAACATTAAGAAGACGTGGAATGCAGTGTCTTGATTTCCACTTGGGCACGGCTTCTATCACAGCCTTTGGTGGCCCACCTTCTACTTGTAGCTGCTGCATTTTTGCATACGCTCGCTTGAGCTTCATGAGTAGCGCCACGTAGCCCAACTTGCTGTCATTGCATTCAGCGCCTGACTTGACGATGCGAAGCTGGCGGCAGTAGCAGGCTGCTCTCAACTGCTTGGCTCCAAACGCCAACAGCATCGTTTCCGTATCCTCAATACTTTGTGACTTATCGTAGAGGATCTCGTCAATGGACAGCAGAGGTTTGGCTTTTTCTATTTCGCCCTGCTCGGACGCTGCTGTCGCTGCAACGCTTAGTTACTCGAGTGGCGTAGAGCTGGACATATCGAGTGTAGCAACGTTAGATAGGATGATATATAGCGAGGTGAAAGTAGGAATTGTCTTACCATTCATGCCATAACAGCGACAATCGTCGTCTATGCCGTCTTCATTCCGTATGGAGATTCACGTCTCCCTTTCGTCCACAAAGAATCCCCGTCCGCTGGCTTTTGAAAACCCGGGTGGACGGGGATCTGATTCCAAGTTAGTGGATGCATATGGCGTTCACTTACAAATCTCTGATTGGGCCACTATTGACAAATCCAATAAATTAGCGTGGCTAACAACGGGCCTTACAATAATCATTGAGAATTGTAGATGGCCCGAAATATGTCGGCCATGGATGTACAGTGTACACGTACCGGTATGTATTGACGTTTGCCGTCTTCATTCCGTATGGAGATTCACCTGTAAGGAGGTCTCCCTTTCGTCCACAAAGAATCCCCGTCCGCTGGCTTTTGAAAACCCGGGTGGACGGGGATCTGATTCCAAGTTAGTGGATGCATATGGCGTTCACTTACAAATCTCTGATTGGGCCACTATTGACAAATCCAATAAATTAGCGTGGCTAACAACGGGCCTTACAATAATCAAGAAAGTTGAATTGTGGCCCGAAATATGTCGGCCATGGATGTACAGTGTACACGTACCGGTATGTATTGACGTTTGCCGTCTTCATTCCGTATGGAGATTCACCAGTGGGGAGGTCTCCCTTTCGTCCACAAAGAATCCCCGTCCGCTGGCTTTTGAAACCCCGGGTGGACGGGGATCTGATTCCAAGTTAGTGGATGCATATGGCGTTCACTTACAAATCTCTGATTGGGCCACTATTGACAAATCCAATAAATTAGCGTGGCTAACAACGGGCCTTACAATAATCAAGAAAGTTGAATTGTGGCCCGAAATATGTCGGCCATGGATGTACAGTGTACACGTACCGGTTTGTATTGACGTTTTCTCTGAGGAGACAACCCAAAACAAAATAATACTTATGAATCTAAGTACGAATCGCGATTTAAGCACTCTAAACGAAAGCGGGGCGTCTCCTTTATCTTTTGAGCCCTTATAAGCTGCAGAATGCTTAAAACTGAAGAAGTTGTGGTCGCTCAAAAATATTATCTTCATTTATGGGCCCTCGAAATGACGATAAGGAGTGTTGTGAGCTTAATATTTTTTCAATTTTAGAGATTTAAGTGTTATTTTAAAGCTCTTGTTAAAAGCAATTGAATAAGGGTAGTTTTACAGTTTTTTCGATGGAAGTTTACAATAAATGTCACTGTTTCGGTTAAGTGCGAAAATCAATTGGCCAACTTTAAGCTCGATTATCTCGATAACTCCAAATGGTTCGTACTGTAAGTATCATTTTGTTTGACGTTGTCCTTAGGATGATGTACAATACCGGTACACAAACATGTTCAAAATTTTGTACATGTTTGTGTACCGGTATTGTAGTCATCCTTTGTTGGATTACGTATTTGTCGGCCGCTTATTGGTCAATCAAAGCTCACCAAATGCGTCACCAAAACCGAAGTTGCGCTCGCTCATTTGCAGAGTCTCCGGTCGGCAGAATCATTGCACAGACTCAAAACCTAGACATGCCAATCGAACAACTGAAGACCGTGCTGCGGCTGCAGGCGACAGTGGTGGAGGGCTTTGGTCGCGGTGGCAAGCAGCTAGGCTGCCCCACGGCCAACCTCTCGAGCAAGGACCTGGGTGACCTGCTGGAGCAGCTACCCACGGGTATCTACTGCGGGTGGGCCACGGTGGATGGCAAAGGCCCGTACAAGGCTGTCGCCAGCATTGGCTGGAACCCTTACTTCAAGAATAAGGTGCTGCAGTGGAGAGAGAAAAGTATAGAGGGACTACGTGCGTTTCTAACTACATGTGTCGTTGTTATTTTGGCATTGCAGGAGAAGACGGTGGAGCCACACCTACTGCACAAGTTCGACAAGGATTTCTACGGTGCACAGCTAAAATTTCTTATCACGGGTTATATCCGTCCGGAGATGAACTTCTCGTCGCTGGAGTCGCTGATCAAAGCCATCCAGGACGACATTGCGCAGTCCAACGAGTGGCTAGATACAACCGAGGGCGAGTCTTGGTCACAGGATGCGCTGTTTCAGTAGAATAGGAGGGCACACGTGTCAAATGTGCTGTGTATTCAACGGATTGAATTCCTTTCGTAACTCAATTGATAGATCTGTAGTTTGTTTTGTCTGTAACGACTGATAACTCGACTGCAGCGGACATTTCAACGCTGTATGTAAGACAGCGACAGCAAGACGTTAATCTATTCTCACTTTTGCGTTAGTGTGTTTTATTCTTTACCCATGACAATACAGATAACACCAAGGACCATCAGCAAAATGCTGGGGATTTTCTTGCGCAGATTCCGCTCTCGAAACAAAAACCGCCCCATCAAGACGCTCCATATGCAGCCTGATCGCTTGATCGCGATCACGTACGAAACTTCGAGATGCTGCGTCGCCACGAGATTTATGTAGTACGCCACGACGCTCGTGACGCCCGCGAGTATGACGAACTTCCAGGGGATTTTCATCTCCTGACCGATCGGGAGGTAGATTTCTTCTCCCCCAACACGCATCTTCTGCAGAATGTAGCTGCCTCCTGCAACAATAACCTGAATCGCAGAGCCATAGACCAGCGGTGTCGAGTTCTGCACGCCGATCTTGTCGAACGCATTGGAAATGCTCCACAAAAAGGCCACGAGGATCATGTACATCGACCCTTTGCTCGCATTCGACGAGTCCGTTAACAGATCTTTGCTCGCACGGTCGTCTTTGGTACCTTGCAGCCAGAAACCTCCCATCGTTGCAATGGAAACACCCAGCACGCCGGAGACCGTGGGGACTTCGCCCAGCACAAGGAATGCGACGACTACCAAAAACGCTGGTGTGAACGATAGAAAGGGCACTGTAGCTGACAGAGTGGAGATCTGGATGGCTCGGTTGTACAGGTAGCTGGTGACAATGTTGATGAAGCCACTAATGCACACGGATGTCCAGAAGAGATGATTGAGCGGCGGAAGACGACCTCCAGTGTCCACGATGGCCCAAAGCACGAAGAGCGGGGCCTGGATAAGTCCGCGCAGAGCCACGACCATGAACGGGTCCATGAATTTGGTCAGGTACTTGCGCAAAGGGTCGCAAAGCGCGTTGACGACAGAGTTGATGACTGCGATGGAGACACCGTACGACATAATCATTGTGGATCGCCACGTAGCTCAGGTCGGAGTAAAGACTGCGGGATGCTGGGTTTTGTACGCACTGGAGGCCGCAACTCCTGTCGGCGTCTGGGCTCGGCGCGTAGAGGGCAACTGGTCTGCTGGAAGCGCCGAGCCTTTTGCCGTCTGCGTTAGCCCGATCAGAGAGTCAGCAGCAAAGATAGTATTTGATTGGCTGAAAATCGGCAAAAATGTCGACGAATACCGTGTCTTTCACTTGACAGGCGTACAAAAGTTTGGAATGGATACACTATCCAGCACGCGATCTTTGGCGGACACTTTGAACAAATGGAGCAACTTGATCGAGACGAGGTCAAGCGCCGGCTCATCGGCGTGTGCAAGGAGTTGATGGTGCTCGTGCATGGCAGCTACGGGCCTCTAGGAAGGGTGCAGCTACTGCAGGCAAACGCGCAGTGTCCTGACGCGCTCACGGCCACTTCTGTCGCCGAGCGATATTTTGCCAACCTCAAGTAAGTAAGACGAAGCGGACGCATGAATATTTGGACCCAGTGCATCCATGAAGAGGGTTGTCGTGTGGTGGCCGGTGCTGGCGGATAAATACCCAACGGAGAACTTGTATGGAGATGTAGCGCTGATGATTGAAACTGTTTGTGGGTGTGCAGCACTGGAGACTGTCCAATCGCCAACGCATACCTTCATATACTGAAGAGCAAGGTGTAGCTTAGTTTGGTCTTCGCGCTTGAGTGTAGTGAGTACTGGATTACACTAACACTTTTGGCTGTGTTGCGTTTGGCGGTGCAGATCCGAAATCATGCTGACTCGGGGCTCTTTCTTGCTGGTTTGAGTTCGAGGTGAGCCTCAGTGGTCGTTCTTGAATTTGTCTATACGCGGTGACTTTGTCCTCGCTTAATGGGATGTAGTCTTCAGCTTGAAATTCAAGGAGGCAGTCTCGAACACATTCCCCACCGTGTAGTTAGTAGAGGTGAGCATACATTATTAGTTTGGGAGTAAAAGATTAGCGCGCAGTGCAGCTAACAACCATTTTGAAAATACAGGTCTGCAACTAGCACTGGACTGGAGCTTGCAGTACCTGGAAGATCCGAGATGCCCAGTGCGTGTAGCAGTGGATTGGAGCTCAGCGACATCGATTTCCGCTGTACTTCAAGGCATCGTATCCTCCAAGTCAATCACGGGGTTAGATGAGAAAACCTTAGAATCAGTGGTTATTCCTCTTATTATTCAAGCGTTTGTGAGTGTATTCGGGTACGTCGTTGAGCACCCGAGCGAGACCGTTCCTGTGCAGCTTTTGTTTGCCCCCGGCCAAGCGTCTATCGCCAAATCCGAAGTCTGGAAGCAAACGGTCCTCCTCGACCTCCCGTGGCCTGCTCGTGGAAGACTTCAAGGTGCCAAGCGGAGCCTATTATCCCCTCCTATCTGCGACGTATGCGTCGCCTTGTTCAATATCACTATCGAACCACTGATCGAGTTTGAGGAAGATGACGCGAACAACAATACGAGTGTAAATCACACGGACTCGATGGGAGCATTCCGTCTGCAAGCACTGCGACAGGTTGGAGAGCGATTAGAACGGCTAGGAGCCACTGCAGTTCTTTCGCAGAAAATTATCCCGAAGTATCTACAGACGTATCTGGCTGCCAAGGGGATCTTCACGCTTGATCGTCTCTCCGCTGCATATATCCGTAAGTCATTTTCAAAAACAAAAGCTTAGTGTGCTGCTTCGAGCTCACAAGTATTCTGTTAGGAAGTGTGCAGATGCTGAGTGGAGCGACCATTCTCAGCGACTGGAGAATCGACGACAGCATCGTCAGCAGCTCACTCGGTTTCTTATCTCTCATCACCACGCAAACTCTCGGTAACAAGCAGTTCATCCGTCTGCATTGTGGGGCCCCCGCTGCGGACAGCGATAACGCACACCCAGTAACAACACTCGCCATCACTGCACCCGACCGCTTCGCATATGATGAGCTTAGCCACGTAGTTACCACCTCTTTGAAAGTACTGGCAAGCTTGATTGATACTCCGGACGTTGTAGCTGGCGCTGGCTGTATGGAGATTCACCTCGCAGCATTGCTACGCGATCGTGCTAAGCAATTACGAGTCCCTAGTCCAGTAACGACATCCAGCAGTACCCAGATTGACAGCAAAGCAGCACGAATACTACATCAGTTGAGCCAAACAATCGCCACTTTTGCTGACCGCCTGGAGGATATGGCCGGGCGCTTGTGTGAGAGTCACGCTTCCTCCACTGACCGTGCAGCGATGATCGAGCAGCTTCGCGGAGCAAACAGCGAGTCTCTGTTGGAAACAACGATGCTACCCGGTCAAGATATTTTATCCACACATAAACTCTTTGGCTGGGATCCAAGGAAGAACTCCGTGATGCAAGTTTTATCGTACACTATTCGGAGCGACGAAGACAAGGTCATAGACGATGCTCGCATCCTAGACACCCTGCAGTCGAAGAAAGATGCATTAGTGCTAGCAATCGAGAGTGTGTCATCGCTAGCTCGAATTGCATCGGTCGTTCGAGTACCTTGACAACAGATAACACGACCATCACATTGTCTATCTATTGAGCAATTGTTTTATCTCGAAGGCATCAGTAGAATTGCTGGTAGGCGTCGTATCCTGACAGGTCTCCGCTTGCTAGGAACGGTACTAATAGCGGGTCGTGCTTTTCGCCTTCCTCAAGTCCGTACCGCGGGAGGAGATACGACGTCATTACAGGCGTGTAGTTTTCGGGCAGCCGGAAACCTTGGCATACTACAAAGGCCTCGTTACTTTGCGCACGACTACTCATGGGCTTGGAGCACGACACGCTCTCGAAGAAGACGCTGAGCTGCGTAGCTAGCAGATCGTATTGCTCGCAGCGGAAGATCTTTGCAACAAAAGCGCCGCCCTCTTCCAGTACGTGCGTGGTGATGTTGAGCGCAGCGGCTAGCAGCTCGGCCTGGACGAACTCGTCAATGTCGTGCACGCCCGTCACATCAGGTGCGCCATCGCTCACCACTACTTGGGCCTTGGCACCGTGGAAATGGCTGATGATCTGCTCGGCCGTGCGCTTCGAGGTGATGTCGCCCTGTAGCAGCTGCACGCCGGCGATTGGCGCCATCTCCTGCAGATCCACCGACATAATACGCACATCGTCGCTGTCGACGCTCTGTACGTTACTGGCGTCGTATAATTTGCGGCTCAGCACTTGGCTCCAGCTTCCAGGCGCAGCGCACAGGTCCACGGCGCGTTGTACGTTGCGCAAAAAGTCAAACTGCTCGTCCAGCTGCAGCAGCTTAAAAGCCGAGCGTGCGCGGAAGCCCACCTCCTTCGCCTTGCGGTAGTAGATATCCTAAGCAACAATTACGCAGCGTTAGCGATACATATATGCACTGTGCATAATGCACAGGCGGGGTCGCTATTGTACGCACTCGGTTCGCTTCGGTGGACTTGGTCATTTTGAAGGCCTACAGTAGTCGAATATTTCGGCTCTAAAATTTCTCATAAAAAGAGGTGTGTGTCTGTTTTCTTCCTTAGCACCTCTGTATAGTGAACCGAAAATCAAGACAGGACCGACGACGGAACACTCGACACAGACATACACCGAGACGGAATGCGAGCGCAGACATCGTCCGGTGGCACGGGCTTCACCATATCGGGAGGCGGAAGCTCCCTCGCCGTCCCTGACGCGATCTTCGAGTCTGCCACCGACTGTTACGTGTGCGACAAGAAGTTCCACGCCTTTCGACGCAAGCACCGCTGCAGGGTACAGTACCGTGAAGACCTGATTAGACTCCGCATTACTCTAACTTTTTGCTTCACTTCCTTCTTTATAAAGGCATGTGGTAATGCGGTTTGTGGCGGCTGCGCGCGTACTCACAAAGTGATGCCTAGGTCCACCATTATGCGCTACAAGAATGAGCCCGTGCGCGTGTGCGACTGTTGTATTCGGGATCAGAATCAGATGATGCTGGAGCGTCGACGCGCGGAAGACGTGGAGCGCGCTAGAGCCCGTCAAGTGGCGGCACTGGAGGAAGAAGAGCGTCTACGTAAGGCAGAACGCACTCAAAGAGAGCGGGACGTGGCGGAAGCGCAGGCTCGACGCGAGATGAGACTGCGAGCGATTGAGGAGAAGCATCTGGGCCCGCGACCGGATCTGAGGACGTTGAAGTCGAGATACTCGAGAAGTCTGGACGACTGTGCACGTGATGCGCCACCTCAGTCGCTTTATTCGAAGGAGCTGAGCTCGTTCATTGAAGACGCCGAGAAGAGATCAGTGGCTTTGGTGGCCAAACCATACGCTGCTGATGACATTTTTGAAGATAAAATGGACTTGGATGGCACCGAGACTGTGGAGACTACAGTGGTGCAGGAAGCGGATGAGTGTGCTATCTGTCTCGATACTATGGACGTCGGGGATGCAATTTACACGACCGCGTGTGGACATAGTTTCCATTGGAGCTGTCTTAAGGAGATCCAGAAGTCGGACTCGAGCAACTACGACAAATGCCCGTCGTGTCGTGCAACGATGTCAGACATGCAGGTCAAGAAACAGTGTGATCACCCTCGAGTGCGACTTGGACACCGGTTCTGCCGCGACTGTGGCGCAGCAGTCACTGAGAGGGAAGCCAAGCCGAGAGCTGACGAGTCCGGGGGCGCTGCAGGAGTGCGGATGTCGACTCCTTCCGGCGGACCAGATCTGAATCAACCGGTTTCGTACCGAGCGAGCTCGCACGGCGCTCTCGTGCGCTGTCCTCAGTGCCACATCCAGATGCGTGTGCTCCCCCACATGTACAACATGTACGCTCTCCTGTACAATTTCTCTCGTCTTGATGTTTGTCTTGATGCTTACACATGGTGTGTGTCTCTTCTTCATTTGCAGGCGGGTCGCATGTCCGTCAGGTCACATGTTCCTGGTTCAAGTTGCTGGACAAGCAGGAAACGGAGGGGGCGGACACGGTGGATACAGCTTTGGATCACACGGTGGACTGGGCGGTTCTCGGGTGCCGTCGCGTGGAATGAGTATGGGTTACCCAGGCTCGCACTACCGCTCCACAAATGCTTATTCGGAGCTGTAGTAACTTAAGAACCAACTACATCAAGGCCAGAATTGTGCGCACAACGTGAAGCGAAAGTAGCTCTCGTTCTGGCGCCAAATCAATCAAAAGGCAATCATCTTCTGGGAACACTTTTATGCTTATTTACTTAGAAACAGTTTGTACGGTGTTCTGCGCGCACATGTGAGAGAGAGGAGGACTCCTGGTGGGCGATAAGTTTTGATAACAAGCGCCGTTATTGTTGGGACTAGGCTGTCAACTTGCTTTCTCACTACAGTACCTGTAATCACTACGACTAGGCCACCACAATCTTCACCACGTGCGACGTCCACACTGTTTGGCCTCGCACGACTCGATCGTTGTTTGAATACAGCCAGTCAGCGTTGGTTCGAGCATTCACAATATGCGTTTGAGGTTTGGTCTTGGGTACAGGGATGTCATCACCTGTGCCTTGGGTAGCCCAGTCCTGATCAACTGTGGCAATGGCCTGAACGTTGTACGTTCCAGCAGCCGCGAATTCGACGCCAGCGGAGAATAATCCCTTGTTGTTGGATTTCACTTTCAGACCCAGATCCTCGTGAAACCATCTCGTGACACCTTTCTGAGCATGCGTAAGGGTGGCATCAGCAGGGTCATCGGACCAAACCTTTAGCTGCGTATTGTCTACCGTGATAGCCCCTGCCACCTCCCATTTAAACGTTGCAGCTTCCGTCACGGTGGTGTTGTGTGGGTGCATTTTCCAGAGCACATACGGCTGCACCAGATCGATGTACAGTAGTGACAAGCGAACGTTGCGAGGAACGTGGCCCACCATCTCTGTCGCTGGCAAGTAGTCGCTCAATGCTTCGTCCGAGAGCGTCGAGCTGTCTCCCCAACTTGTTGAGTTTGGCTGCTTGTTGTCACTTGTCTCGATCAGGACATTAAACGCGCGGTGGGTTGCATTATTGTACCTGGTCTTCTCGGCCGGGTATCCTCCGAAACTTGAAGGGTTGCACTCCTTAATGGGCTTCGGAGTCGTAAACTCGTTCTCCCAAGACGCAGCATACCCCCAGTCTTCCATGCCACCGTCGACAGCATACACGACATCATTCATAGTACCGTCAGGGTAATATTTGCCACTCTCTTCAAACTTACCTCCAAATCGCGACATGATGCGCGATAGCTGCTTCTGACTTTGGTCATCTGGACTCTTCTCACTTTTACCAGGTTCCCCGACATGATTTTTACCGCCCCACTCGTACGTGATACACTCTGTACCAGCGTGGAAAGTGATGCCAAGCTGGAACAAATGGTCGCGCCACAATTCGTTCAATGCACGGGCAGCCGTCGTTACCATGCACTCCTCGTCGTTACCCAAATTGTACGGAAAATCACGATTCGGATCAACATTAAGTTCTCTGCGGACGTTATGGTCGTAGCCGTACGCGTTAGCGGTTGGCACAATCACGACAGTGCGTGTTTTCACGAGATGCTTTAGCCACGGATTGCCATCCGCTCTGCTCGCGTGAGACAGCAAAAGCTCCGCTAGCGCCACGACTACTTGCGGACCCACTCGTTCGTTACCATGTACAGTGCCACTAAAGATTAGTTCTGGTCTTTCTGGATCCGGTAGCGTTGCCTCTTCCGTGATTTTGATCACGTACTGTTCACAAGGCACCGTCTTGTGGTTCCGAGTGCAGTTAACTTCCTTGTACGTGGGCAAGTCGTACTTGTCCTGTACACTAAACACCTCAGCGTAGTCCTGGTATTTCGTCTCGAGCTCCAAGAGATAGTTTACAATCTCGCCGTATGACCGTTCTCCGTAAGTGGTAGTTGTCGCTGGAGCAGAAAGTGGAAGCGAAATGCTCGTGACAGTGGCACCCAGTGCCAGAAGCACCGCTGGCGCCTTCATCTTGATAACCTGAAAAAATCGCAACTGGTGCTTAAAAGTAGGGTCTGCCTAGCGCCAGCTGTGCACAAATTGCACACTCAGATAAGACCGCTCTTTGTATTCGCCCCCATCTCGTCATGTGGATCATCGATCGTCCACCCCGAAGGACGACATCACCAACAACCAGTCGCGACGTGACCACCCGGCTCAGCTCGGATGGATATGGATTCGATGGTCAACCAGCTTCTGTGAACAATTAAGCGTTGTCATTGACAACTTGTCGACTTCCTAATTAGGCGGAGAATCAACTTCATGTTTTGAAAAGCAAACAATATATCCGTATTTTGTCACAACTGTGTCAGAGTGATGGTCCTTCAAGTTGAAGTTGGTCGCTAAAAGCCCGCATTCAGTATCCAAGAAGCGCCACAAAACGCATTCCGCGCTCGGGCACACCGGCAGAAAAATGAAGGTCACGTCCGAAAAAGGCGCCGACGTGAGTGCTGGCTACACAAAGCCGCGCCTTGCGCAGCTGGAGAACATGCTGCAGGAGCTGAGGAGGTGCGAGGAGCGCAAACGACAGCAAGGCGTTGAGAGCGCGTCAGTTGCTGCTAAGCAGAAGCTGTTATACGACCAGCTCCTGCAAAGTACGGCGCAATGCATGGAATGGCAGATATATGGAATCTGATTGTGCTGCTTGGACAGCTAAAGATGAACTTGCTGCCACGCAAGCGAGCAAGGCCAAATTGTGTGAAGAAATCGGGACGCTAAAGCAGACCAAGGATCACCAAGCTAAACAGTTAAGCAAGTATAAGCTCGACTTGCAGGCTGCACGTGAATCCCATGCGGCAATGACGAAGAAGATGGGGGAACTCGAGACGTCAACGTGGACGATCAAGCAGCAGTACATCCGGTGCGTTTTGCATGCACTTTCTTGCCTTGATGAGGAAAATGAAGCTTAACTGTGTGTGTATTGTTTTTACTTAACAGATCGCTCGCTTCACGCATCAAGACGAGTGCTCTGGTTCTTCAGCAGCTGAACGCGAAAAATGGGACCACCTTCAGTGCTCATATTTCCGAAACAAGCAGCGAAAGGGAGCAGGATAAACCCAACAAACGCAAGCGTATCATGGAAGACAACGAGAAGCAACTAGAGGCTGTAGGTGGTGACAAGGTATTGGTAAGGGTATTTGTTTCTTTTTGCACTTCATCTCACTCTTTTATCAGCCAAAGCAAGCAGGAATCCCGGCGAATATCGAGTCTGGATCTCGGCAACAGCAATCACACAATGTAGTAGTTGAACAGGTGACTGCAGCGAAGATCAAGCTCGGTGTCGCCGTGACAGATCACCACGAATCGTTGTCCTCTGATGAAACCCGCGAACAAAACGGCGATCATGCTGAAGCTGAGCGCCAAATTACAGAGCTACAGTCTCAGCTCGCTACTCTCGAGTCGAAATACTCGGCTTTAAAGGGTGCGGTCATTGCGATGGTTGAAAAACGAGGATGACGCCTAATCAGACGTGTGGTTTTCCGTTTAGACAAGTACAAGGCGCTTGAACGCAAGCACGACAAAGCTCTAATCGACAATAAAACGTCTGCGCAAGAAATCGAGGCAAAAAACTCAAAAATCGAGGAGCTCATGCAACTGCTGGAGATTTCACGCTCGAAGCAACAGCCCTCCCCTGATCGCTGCAGTTCTACTACTGATGTAGCCAAGGAAGCAACTGAGGGACGCGTTAAGATGCTAGAGGTATGGATTCTGTGGTCTTTTGAGAAAGTGACCAAAAAGATGATTATGGTGACGACGCCTTGTGTGTGTAGGAAAACGTGGCACAGATGAATGCGTATGCTGATCAGCTTGAGATGGTAATCGGTCAGTGCCCTTCGTGCACGGAAAAACTCCAAAATGGGAGCACACAAGATTCGATCTCCAACAATGCCGAGTAGAGCGCAGAAAAGACGGAAGACGAGCTTATATTTCCCAATAAGTACTTCCCCAGTTCTTAGCTCGCTAGCAAGGGAGCTTGGTTGTGGGCAAGGTTGTAGAACTTGGTACCTTCCTGGTTCAGCTCCGCGAAGGTGCCACTCTCAGCAATGACGCCTTCCTCTAGCAAAATGATACGATTGGCGTGCTTGATGGTGTTTAGCCGGTGCGCAATAATAAACACGGTCCGGTTCTCGGCCGCCGACTGCAGGGCACGACGGATCATGTCCTCACTGCGACCATCAAGAGAGCTCGTGGCCTCGTCGAAAAGTAAAACGTTCGTTTGCTTGTACAGCGCACGGGCGATGGCGATGCGCTGCTTCTGGCCACCAGACAGCTCCACACCCTTTTCACCCACAAACGTGTCGTACTGGTTAGGCAGCTCCATGATGAACTCGTGCGCGTGAGCCTCCTTGGCTGCAGCAATAAGCTGATTTTTGTTGTGCACCTCCGCACCGTACATTATGTTCTCAGCGATAGTAGAAGCGAAAAGAGACGGCTCCTACAAAGACATCAGCAGCAGCAACTCGTCAGCGTCATCGTATAAAGCACACAAGCCAGTTATCTACAGAGAAACAAACCTGGTTGACAACACCGATCTGTTTACGCAGCCACGACGCCTTCAACGTAGCAATATCCACACCGTCCAGAGTCACTGTGCCGCTCGTGGGCTTGATGATCTTCGACATGAGCGACGCAATCGTGGTCTTGCCTGCACCGCTCTTACCAACGATCGCCACCACCTCACCAGGGTTAATCTCCATGTTCAGACGGTCGAGCACCAGGATGTCCGGGCGTGACGGGTACGCAAACGACACGTTGTTGAAGCGTACATGGCCCTTGACACTTGCCAGCGTGTTTTCGCCATCCACAGCAGGCGGCAGCGACAGCAGGTCGAAGAGCGCTTCGGATGACAAACGCGTCTTTTTCATCTCGCTCAAGCAGGACGACACACCGGAGAATCCAAGACCCATGAAGCCGCTGTACAGCGCGAACGACGTGAGCGTGCCGATCGTCAGCTCACCCGAGCCCACCAGTGATCCACCAAAGTAGAGCACGGAGAACAGTGAGCAGTTGATCGACAGCGAAAGGCCACCCATGAACACACCGCGAGCACGTTTAGCACGTTTGGCATTGGCCAGAATGCTCTTGTTGATCTTCTCGAAGTGGTCCAGTTCGTCCTGCTCCGCCGAAAACAGCTTCACCGTGAATATGTTGTTTAGTCTCTCCTCTGCAACTCCCGTCATGTCTGCGACCGAGTTCTGATGCTGTTTGGATAGACGACTCGAGAGCTTGCTAAAAAGCATGGCTCCCGTGCCCACGAGTGGTAAGATGGTCAACGACACCAACGTAAGCTTGGGCGAAATAGTCAGCAGCATGCACGACGCACCCACAGCCGAATTGAGTGATCTATAGCCATTAGACAAAACGTCCACCACTGCATTGGCCGTCTGCTGGCAGTCTCCGCTTAGTCTGGTCACTAATTCGCCAACCTTGCGGTTATTGTAGAACCCCAGTTCCTGTGATAGAAGAACTTTGTACAATCTGCGCCTTAGCTTGGCAGCGATGCGCTCAGCCACCATTCCGAGTGAGTAGGTGCGCAGGAACGATCCTACGGAGCCGGTGAAGAAGGTGGCGAGTACCACTACCACAAAACCTTTGCGGCTGAGGCCACCGGGCGCGGGTTTCCCCGAAGCAACGTCAATAGCTTTGCCCATGATGCGTGGGAACACCAAATTCATACCCGAGGCAATGGTCATGCCCGTGACACCTACAGCCAGCGGCAGCTTCTCCTCCTTGGTGAGGTTCAGAATCCAGCCGATGTTAGACGTCTTCTTGGGATTCTTGGACTTGGACACATCGTCCTTGTCACCCTTGGACACAGGTGCCACTGCAGCGCTGACTCCGCCGTCGTATGGCGCGCTCAGCTTCTGCATCAGGAAGGACCTGGGCGGCAACATGGCCACCGACTCCAAGCTTGATGCAAAGTGTGCGAGTGCGCGAATCAGAGTGCGGTCCACAAGCTCGTCGCGTGTCTCGGTGCATTTCGAAGCGATTATTTCAATACAAAACCTATCATATATCACACTATGAATTGTGATAAAATCGAGCTAAGCTGATCACCACAGACACGAGCGTGTCGAGGAGATAACATTTGTCGACGTAGGGTTGCTCGCTGTGCGTCCGTGCATCATGCAGCGAGGGCTTCTCCGACTATCACGCGCGGCGCTAAATAATCACCAACATGTACCCACTGCTATTCGTACGATTTCTTCGACGCCAGTGTTGTTGTACGCTGCGGGGGCGGAGCGCAAGTCTCCTGCGCGCAAGCATGGCCGAGCAAACTCGGGTCTACGCAAGCCCAACTCTGGACCGGGCCGACGTCGTCCGTCGCGCACCCAAGTGATCGACGACATAGGCGCGCTAGTGCATGAAGCTAAGCGCCAAGGCCCGCGCTTCCAGCCCAGCATGGACTATCTGCGTCGCGCCAGTGCTGTACTGCAGCTCTGCAAGGGTCGGGAGCAATGTACAGCCGCTATTCCACTGTGCCATATCGTAGAGAAGGCTCAGAACACGCACAGCAAGGCTGAGATGGAATGTGTCCGGATCTACCAAAAGGCGGGCCGAAACCAGGAGGTTGTGGCTTTAGCTGAGAAGCTCATGAGTCAGGACGTGTTTTTACTGAACCCGGCGCTCGCCAGCGCCATCCAGGCTTGCGCAGCCGTGGGAGACATGGACAAGGGGTTCCATTTCTTTGACGTAGCCGTGAAGCGCGGCTCCATCCCGAACTTAAGTGTGTACTCGGCGTTGCTCGCAGTTGCAGGAGCGACTGGGGACCCCAAGCGTGTGCAGACTGTACTGACCCAGATGCAAGATGCGGGAGTTGAGATGAACGATATTACGTTCCACAATCTGATGAGCGCTTATGCTCGTGGAGGACACGTGACGGAAGCGCTGGCGCTGTTCGACAAGATGCAGAAGCAGGGAATTCCCGCCGATGAACACACGTACGCTATCTTGATGGATGCCCATGCAGAGAGTGGAGACTTTGAAGGTGCCAATGCTCTAATGGAAGAATTGAAGAAGGCATCAATCGGGCCGAACCTGGTGCACTACAACGTGTTGCTCAAGGCTTGTGGGAAGGTGAGAAACTTGACCTCCGCTTTCCAGCTCTATGAAGAGATGAAGGAGCGTAAGATCCAACCAGATCTGGTGACGTTTATTACCATGATGCACGCGGTGTATCATGGCGAGCTCGGAGCAGTTGACCAGAAGAAAGTGAAGGCAGCCCTCGTGGGAATGGGTGTGATGGGCGCTGCGTTTATCCCGTTCATCAACTATGAAGAGTACATGATGACCACGCTCTTCTGTGGTAGTCTCGTGGGTTCCATGGGTCTGGCTGCGTACATGAACCCGGACGGCGTTATCCGTGCCCTTTATCCCAATACTGACGAGCCCCGTGACGACACCATCATTGAGGCTTTCTTCAGGCGACTACGCGAAGAAGATCACAGCGGCAGATCCATGTATCTGTGGCGTGAAATGCTCAAGTTTAATGTGCCTGCGGACCCGCGCGTGTATGACGTACTGGTGCGCACGTGTGTGCGTAAGCGTCACCCTGAGTTGGCATACGAAGCGGTGTTCGAGGAGAAGCTGCCTCTTACTGACAAGGAAGGCTCGTTCGTGCTCAATCTCCCCACAACGCTGAGTCTGTTGCATTCGCTATTGGCCCAGAAGCGTTTTAACATGGCGGATACTCTCTACGACGCTGCTCGAGGCCACGGTGTGTTTGACAAGGTATTCTCCGAGAAGGGGGACGTGTATGTGTACGATATGCGTTCGTTCCTGAACGAGCAGGTGCGCAGCTACGCCATCATCAAGTTATTGGATGAGCTGCGCACAAAGGTGGACTCGTCGAAGGGGCAGTTTGTTGCACCGAACGTGCAGTTTCTGGTTCAACACGGGTATGAGCTGCTTGATCGTCTTGATGCTGACAACACCAGTCTACGCACGTTGTTCTCGATGGATGACATGGCACGGATCGGAGCTTCAGGAGATAACTCTACGTCTGCAAACTACATGTACTACTTCCGACTGGCTATCCCCACGGAGCGACTGCAGAAGTACTTCGAGACCACACCAGCAAACGCAGGCAAAGAGCGACGACTTTAGGGGCGCTGCGAGATCAGTAGCAGGTGCTGAGGGAGATAGCGCGTAGATGGCTTGTTCTTGAAATTTCGGTTTTAACAGCGCGATTCCAACATCTCCACGCCCTTCGGCTTTCAAACACTACCGGTAGCTTGTGATGATGGTAGGTTGGTTTTGTAGCGTTGGGGTCTTTTGTTTTTTTGTCGGAGTGTTTCTTGTATTAATACCTTCCCGCATGACAAGCAAAAGCATAATGGCTCTGTTCAATGCCCACTGGAATGAACGTTGGATGTGTTCATACCTGCAATTGGAACGCGGATAGCTCGGTTAGGCAACGCTCAGGATCTTATCTGCTTGAAGAAATATCCCAACACACATATTTTCTTCCTTGCACTCTCCATCCGCCGACCTCCATGTCTGGTCAAGCGGTGAAGCAATTGCAGACGGAGAGACGTAGGTCTACCATATCCTTTTACTTGACATCGATCCATGCTGTTCAGTCTATCATTGTCCATGTGTCTGGGACTGCTCTTATCTTTTCTTACAACGGCTTGATAATACCGAAACGGTAGCATTCCGTTTTGCTCAAGGCACTGCGACTGAGCGACGTGCGACGAATGCTTTGCTTTCACCGTCTCGGAGATCCACCTTTGCCCACGCAATTTCGGGGGTTGCCGCGCCCAGAACACCATTTCCGCTTTTGCTGAATTGAGCTGAGCATGGCACCCAAAATATCATCGGTGCTCGGTTTCCACGAGCGCGAACAACTGCACAAGAACCCGTCGATTCTGGCCTATACGGGTGACGTAGGTCGAAATTACCTGGATCTGGGCAACAACGACCAAGAAGGCGAGCAAAACATGACAGACCAACCACGTCGCCGAAATTCCACCCCGGACAAGAAGGCGGCGACGACTAAGTCACGCCTCACATCGCTGTCGTCTAGCCTCAATAGCGCTCGGACCGCTGTAGCTGCGCGCGCCAAGAAGCTTCACGTACGCGAGTCTACTCTCCAGGCTATCGGTCAGCTGCGCAAGACGATGGCTAAGGGTCACACTTCTCGAACGCAGCATTCACCGTCGAGTACCGACTCAACTCCGACTGAGAGTGAGTCCAATCAGTGTGATAACGATCTCGGAAACCAGGTTGCAGTCGAGCACGCCGGCTACGAATGTATGTACGCTGAGATCAATCTGGGAAACGATATGGAGTTCACATCGAGGAGCTCGGCGGGGGCCAAGAGCAAGCTGTCGAAGCTTCTGCCATCACGACCGTGGATTAAGAGCTCCAAGCAAACGCGGAGGTTCAGCGATGTTCTGAGCTAGATTCGCTATCATGATAGGTACCTGCGTAAAGGAAACACAATGTACGTTTACTTCAAGTTGAAGTTACAGAGTGATGGTCATCCAGAAGAGTGTTGACAAATAACCGAAGTCACTTCATGACTTCGGTACTGAAGTTCAGCGCCCCCTGCTATGATCCACTGATCTTATTTATCTGAGTCATCTTCTGACGCCAAGGATATTGAAAGCTGCAGCTCAGATTCGGACTGAAACCGAATCTGAGCCAATAAGCCCTCGAGCAGTCACTTGCGACCCCAGTCACGAATTGTCAGTCTGACATATTTCTCGACCCCCATGAGCGGAATCAAAGCGGAGGCTCTAATGAACCAGGTAGCACCGCGAGAACGCGCGTGGTCCGGCGGGCTCAGCACTGAAGCCAGCAGTTCGTCTGAAGTATCGGAACTCCTTCTGGTGAAGGATCGGCAGACGGCGCGCTCTGGATACGGAAGTACGACCCTAGAAGTGCCTCTGAGAGTCGATGATGAGGTGGTGGTCAGCGACCAGATCTTGGTGTCCGCCATCGCCAACCTCAGCACAGCAGTACGTTGCATCATGTGTGTTGCACTGGAAATAATAATTCATTGACTTTGGATGTCGGTTGCTGCAGTACAATTTAGCAGTGATCAACTACGCGCTTATGATGTTGCAAAGGTCGTACCCCAACTCGAGCCCAGAACTACGATCCACCGTGGACTCATGCTCGCTAGTGGGTGCCATTGTAGGACAGCTCACATTCGGTTATGTGGGGGCTGTCATGGGACGTAGGAAGGGGATGATCTTCACGCTGTTACTCTCCATTCTAGGCGCCGCATCGAGTGCGCTGCTACCGTGGGGGGCAGATTCAGTATATCACATACTGGCGGCCTGTCGGTTTGTGCTCGGTGTCGGAGTCGGAGGCGTTTACCCGTTATCAGCAGCATCAGCTGTGGAGTCGACGCACAGTCACGATGAACTCAAGAAGAGCAGGATTGTAGCAGCAGTATTTAGCTTCCAGGGCATTGGACAACTGCTTGCGCCGCTCATGGCCTACATCATGTTGACAATGAAGGCGCAGCGCACCATCGGATGGAGAGTATTGCTACTGGTCGGTGCATTTCCTGGACTATTCGTGCTACGACGAGCATTCCAAGTCAAGGAGGACTTGCCGCCGTCTCCGATCACGCCACCAATTGAGCTGAAAAGATTGGATTCAGAGGTGTCTTGCCACTCGAAGCTGTGGGATCAATTGCGAGATAGCAGATCGCTGCAGCGGAAGCTGTTCGGTGCTTGTGCGAGCTGGTTCCTATTCGATATCACCTTCTATGGGAACGTCATCTTCACGCCTATAATTCTACAGGACACGTACGGATTGGACAAACATCATTTCGCTGACGTCGCACTGTGCTCGCTGGTTGTGGCAGCTATCGCCCTACCCGGTAACCTGCTAACTGTGTGCATAGTCGGCAAGATCAGCTTCAAGACGATTCAGATCATGGGCTTCGTAGTGATGGCGCTGCTCTTCGTGGTACTGGGATCGCTCTACGAGCAACTTTTAGACTACAGAGGACTGCTACTTGGCATGTATGCACTTACGTTTTTCTTCTCGAATTTTGGACCGAACGTCGGGACTTTTTGTCTTCCCGCCGAGATTTTCGCGGAAGACGTGCGCGTTGAGCTCAATGGGATCGCTGCTGCAGCGGGGAAGGTCGGTGCTGCAATCGGAGCGGCTTCTTTTGGTATTATTGAAGCTCGATTTGGTGTATCTTATCTTCTGGCACTGAGTGCGACGGTCTCTCTGCTGGGAGCCCTCGTAACTTACAAGTTCATCCCCACCAAGCACTACACCGGGTCATAGACTACTAGTGTTACGTAACCATGCAACTATATATCCACTTCCATTCCATGTTTGCAGAAGCCTTGCACTATTTGCGACGTGCAGCATTGCGCTCTCGTCTCGCCTTCAGCATCTTGTCTCGGTTGGCCACTTCGTCACGAAACGCCTTAAGTAAATGCCCACCAGCGAGGCTGTTGCCTCCGCAGAGCTGTGTGAACCGAGCGTGTGTGAAGCGGATAAGCATCCTGCCATCGACGGAGCTGTTGACATTGTCAGCGAACTTCTGGAATCCCCCGTTGCGTACCGAGCAGACCCAGTTCCTCACACGATCATTGTCCCATTCTCGAATCGGAACCACGCGCTCCTCTTCGCTTCTCCAGCTTCTTTGACGTCGACTCGATCCGTGCTGATATGAGGAGTGTCTTCGAGCATTTGACCGGCGCAGAGCAAGGTATGCAGCGTGTGTTCCGTGTCGATGGACAGCGGCGAGATGGTGGCGATCACACTAGCACGAGAGTTGGTACTCCAGAGACAGCTCTTCAAAATGCGGGTGAGAACACTAGCGCGATAAGGCACGAAGCCAGTGTTGTCTTCACGTCCGATGGCACGAACGCACTCCTTGAGCGCCAAGTGGCTCTTGTTAATCTCGATGGCTTCTTTTCTGCGTGCAGCATCGTGGTAGAACGAGTCTTCGTTGCGCTCACTGCCTGCTAGATCCAGCAGCACCAGCTGTCCGTAAAGTTTGCCGAGGCTATCACGTGCACTGCGATGACGCAGGTTGATGTAACACACCAGATGGGAGCGCGATGACTGGTGGTTCACTGTAGTCGCTTCAGTGGACCGTAAGTCTTTGACGTTGTCGAATACCTCCAAAAGAGCATTGGTCGAGTCAGCTTCCACTTCGGTCGTGCCTACCAAAGTCGTGTTGCCTTCACCGTCGTCGCACACCAGAACCTTCGAGCGGTCGTGAATGAGGTCTACATATTACGATGAATATCACGTCGAAAGATACAAGTTAAAGAGGGGTACTCGACAATTATTCGGCATTGACTGTACCATAACACTTGGAGCCGGCAATCTCGACTGCAGACACTGAGACTACAAAGTCCACGTCTCTCACAATCTCCATGAAGAGATCGTTCGCGACGAACTGGAAGAGGCCACTCATGGTGTATGTCTTGCCGGACCCGGTCTGTCCATACATCATGCAAACGGACTTGCCGCCTCCCATGGCATCAGGGCTTCTCCAATTCAATATTATACGGAATTTCCTGCCGACCACAGCAGTAATAATGATTCAATACCTCAAGAAGCAATAATAAAAACGACCGCAAATACTGCAATGTATTATCATGACTCTGACTCACTTCGAACGGATGCCAATGTAGTCACGTCCCACAGGCTCCTGTTTGCCCGAAGAAACATTAGTAGCTCGAAATTGGCGGGTAGCATGGACGTACGCTGTGGAGTTAATACCAGCTTGCATTGCGAGAAAAGTCTCTCGCACGTGTTTGATGTCGGTGGAAGGTGCTTTAACCCCTTAGTTCCCATTATGTTGGACCCTACAACATAAGGGGTGTATACCCTAATACACTTTTGTCGCAGCATCTATGTTATGTTGGACCGTACAACATAAGGAGGTTTTTTACTTATAGTTTGTATCGGCCTGACTGAATACAAAGATTAAGTTTATTTCGTGTGTGTAAAACGAACGAATGCACAGGTGTAGGGTTTGGAATTCCTGCAGAGCACCAGAAAAAGGGTGTCGTCACCCACCAAATATTGTTGGCCGACAGCCACTGAATTCGCTCATTCGAGAAAAGGAGCTGGCACGAACAATGGCGGCTTCCACTGGCAAGAAACCCCGTAGCAAACCGGATGAAGCGAGGAGCATGCAATCCGCATACGCTCTCCGGCGGGAGCGACGCGTTCGACGGCAGCTGACAATCAGCACGCTCCCCAAAAGAAGGCCGCAGCGAAATCACTAAACGCCCCGAAACCGAAAGCCTGCGTCGATTACGGCAGCGGAGTTGATGCGGCGGAGGAGAAGGATGATGAGGCCAAAAGAGCCGAAGCATCGGCAGAAGATATCGAAGTCCCAGTTGAAGCCATACCCGTGCCTGCGGACGGAGAGGAGACACCATCGACAAACCCAGCGCCGCGAGCGGACGAGAAGGTGGTGGGCAAGAAGAAGGCGCCATCAGGTAAGAAGAGAGCCCCGGTGCAGGTTCCGGCCATGTGGAATAGTGCCCTTCCGACACCTGGGGGAGATACACCGACACATGCTGCATCAGCTTCCAGCCCACAGTCCCAAGACCATGTAGCTGCGGACGTAGAAGCAGCAGTTGCTGGGATTATATCCCAAGTCGAGGTTGAGGAGACCAGTGAGGCAGCCCCTTCTATCCGGACAAGCCCAGAACTCCAATCGTCCTCCATCGCGAAGAGAAAGCGCGCTAGTACCAGATCATCAAGGAAGCGCCGCCGACGTATCCTTCACGATGAGAGCGAGGAAGGAGAAGACGATTCGGTACGTTATGTTAATGTATCCATCATAACGATTGTGCTGACGAAGGGTATTCAACACAAGACTAACATAAGACGTCACTGGTTTTGAATGCAGACTCAATCCAGTGGTCCCGAAGACGATAACCCAGAGGCGACAACGGCGATACCAACGTGCTTTGTCGACGGAGACCCCAACATGATGGACTCGGGAGCTCAAACGTGCACCGGCCTCAACTCAGATGAGGATGAAGATCTGCATGAAGAGGCTGAAGATGAAGACGATGCGGAAGATGATGACTGCACCTGGGTTGCGGACTGGGAAATTGGAGAGCTGACCGACGAGGATACCGATGAAGAACAAGATGAGCTTCCTGCGTCTGCGTGGTCGTCAGTAGCAAAGGACAGTGAAGCTATCAAGGCAATGAAAAGTACCGGGTGGGAGTACGGTACGCTATGGTGGCCAAGCCCAACATAAATGTGTGTGCGGACCGGGACATCCAACAGAAGGACTAACATAATGATGGCTCTGTTGATCTCAGATCCTGCTAAGTTTGGTGCAGACCCCACGTACAAGGACCTGTACGATGAACCGTATGGACCATCAACGAGTGTTCTTGCAGTTGCAGAAGACCCGTTGGCTTTGCTGTTTTACTTTATGCCGCCCAAGCTCTGGCGTCAGATTGCGATTGAAAGCAATCAATATCATTCCCAATCCATTCCACAGCGTGCACGGGCGATTCGGTCCCAACAACGGCGAACTGGAGGAGAAATAGAAGAGCTTGGTGATATCAAGCGGCGTATAGCTGGCGTAGCGGACATTGAAGCCTGGGAGGTGCTACGAGTGATGACCCTGTTGATTGCACGGATGCTGGCACCTATCCGGAAGGGCATTGCGGCTCATTGGTCTCTAAAAAGGGTTGGCGCACTGCCAGCGAATCAATTTGGATAGCTCATGACCAAGAACCGATTCTTTCACATAATGGGCTACCTTCACTTCTCGAATAACAAGTCACCCCAGGCACGGCTCGACCGAGCATGGAAAATACGGCCTGTTGTTGACGTGCTACAACGAACTTTCGCCCGAGGATACCAAGCGCCCCCTGTTATAAGCTTCGACGAAGCTACGTTGCCGTCCCGTTCCCGGTACAATCCAACTCGCCAGTTCAACAAGGATAAACCCCACAAATGGGGGACGAAGGTGTTCGTTGCAGCCTGTGCCAAAACCGCGTACTGCATGAGGTGCGTCAAAAAATGATGGCGAGTTCAAACTCGCCATCATTTTTTTTTGGTTAAAGTCCTTATGTTGTCTGATGTCAAACATAAGGCATCAAATCTCGCTGGCCATCCATCATTTAGCTAACATACCGTTTTTTCCTGGTTTTCACTAGAATTGAAGTATATTGCGGTGCCAAGGCGCATCTACAACCCCAGTGCCTAAGGACAACAACACAGGCGAAGCGGCGGTGCTCCGAAACATGAACGCCCTCTATCATCCGTCCACTACTTCGCCTTGGAGACTGGTCATTACCGACCGCTTCTATACCTCTGTAAAGCTGGCACTGGAGCTCCTACACCGGCGAATGTACCTGACCGGAACGATCTCTGTGGATCGCTCTGGATTTGCGAAAGACGTGGTCACGAAGATGAAAACGAAGACCGTCAATAAGAAAAAGGTTACCATCCCAGCACAGGGTACCACCAAGTTGGCCGAAAACAAGCGCTTTCCGCAGCTGACAGCCGTCATGTGGATGGACCGAACCCCAGTGCACACGCTGTCCTCTGGTGGCAGCCGACGGCCTGGGGTAGTGAGTATGTTTCTAAGTATTTTTAAGGCTCTAACATCCATACTAATGCTTATGTACTGTAGTGCGTCGTGTCAACGGTGAAATGAAGCCCGTCCCAGCTCCAGAATTGGTGCGGGACTATCACCGCTGGATGGGCGGTGTAGACGTCCATGACCAGCTGAGGATGCAGCGTACCTAGCGTCCAGCTCTCCTACAAGACGCGAAAGTACTATAAAACACTCTTTCTCGGGCTGTTCGACATGGCGGTCGTAAACGCCTTCATCGTGTATCGACACTTCCGGAAGAAAAACGACCAACGTCCTCCACGACACTTTGCGTTTATGGAAACGTTGATGGAGCAGCTGCTCGCTATCGACTCGACCGAAACGCTCGAGGTGATCGAGGTAAGTTTATGTCGAATCGCATTTAACACAAGGGTGAGCAAGGTTCTGGTTATCCAGCATAACGCTAGCTTATTTTATGATGCCGCAACTTTAGAGAACAGCAACCGCTCAGGAACGCACAGCAGCGTCTCCAGCCAGAGGGGAACAGGGGTCGCGTCCGCGCACTGAGAATACTACGGATTCAGTGGAAGGCGACCACAGGCTGGAAGCGAATCCGGATACAGTCCAGTGTGAACAGGGGGTGAAACGCCGCCAGCGCTCCTGTAAGGTGTGCGCTGTGTACAAGGTCAAGCCGCGCAAATTCACCAAGTATTGCTGCCCGGAATGTTCAAACGGGAACAAACGGTGGGTGATATTGCTTGTGGTATGGATTGCTACGCTAATGCAACTTGTGGTGGCTGTAGTAAATATCTGTGCAATGTGGGCCGCGAGGGCAGAGATACCTGCTTTCGTATATGGCACCTAGAGTGGAATAATGGGAGCAATATTCCGAGGACACTGCTCGAGGGACACAAAACACGAGAGCGCCCGCCGGCAACACGACCGGGAAAGAAGCCTAGGCGACGAGCGCAAGGCTCTACTACTGCCAACGCTGGTGGTGACGACGACGACAGCGGGGGAGATGGCGGCGGCAGCGGAGTTGGCGAGAGTACTGCTGGGAGTGAAGGCGACGTCTCCGAAATCGAGGCTGGCAGCGTGTCCAGGTGATCAGAGGTGCATGGAGGTGTAAGCAATGGGTTGTGGCCAGGAGGGTGGCTATGTCCAATGCAATCAATTGATACCACATTTTTATATTTCTTTCATTGGCTATAATAAATGAAATCACTGCTGCTGGCCGTGTGCAATGCCACAAAAAACGGGATATAGATAAAAAGGTCACTGCTTATGTTTTTTTGTCAAGCATAAGCTGGTAAGCAGATCTCAATCGCTTACATAAGCTCCCTTTAAGTTGGAGATGCCGGCACTATACCCTCATGTATATTTTATACACCGCCCCAACCCGCACGTCAACATTCGAAATTAGAAGGGAACTCTTACAAATTCTCATATTACTGTTTATGGGACGGAGTAAAAATATACCCTCGTAATAAAGCCTGGGAACTAAGGGGTTAAGAGAGAATTGTAGATAGCACCTTTGTCCTGCTTGGACCGCTTGCCTGGCCCAGCCGCCAAGTCAATACCTTCAGTCTGCAGCTTCTTCGTCACGCTTTGAAACTTCTTCATGTGCTCAAGAAGAGCGACCAGCTTCCGATGTGACGCACCGGTCGGGATCAGCTCCTCCACGGCGTCCACTGTCTTGATCTGAGGGCGAATTCGAATGTAGCGCTGAAGCATCTCAAAACTGGAACTCCACCTCGTCATATTCCGTTTGATGGGATGGAGGCTGGTCACTTTTGAAAGTTCGGCGAAGTTATTAACTTGACATAACTTTGACATCAGCGTGTTAACTTGCGCTAGTAACGGTTCGTAATCAGCGAGATACTTGTTAACCGCCAAGTTGAACCGGTGACTGGCACAACTAACAAGCGGAACACCAAGCTTGGTGGCGATCGACTGGTTGGTGCTGCAGTTATCGCCAACAATAAACGCCACCATGTCGAGCGTCTTGTTGTAGACATCCAGCACACCGTCAAAGAGCTTGATGTGCACATCTGCATCCTGCGATCCGTCATCAAGGGGAGACAATGCGAGCAGCTGCAGACGCAGATCCCCATCTGTATCAGAAGCACCATAAACGGCGATGTAGTGCATGGAGCCACTCGACCATCCATCGAACATTATTCCAAAACAGCTGCCCAGCATCGACTCGATCGTCTTGCCAACTTTCTTGGCCACGTCGTGCATTGCGTTGAGAAGAACGCGCGAAGAAATGGATGTCCATTTCGACATCGATCGTGTCAGCTCGTTGTCAACTTCTGAGAGCGGCATATTGCGCTCGATGACCCACTGCATCCACTGGAAACGATGTGTCGTCTCTTCGGAGACAAACCCAAAGTCCTGGAGACTTTTAGATGTTGTAGAAAGGGAGGCTGCATGCTGAGTCTTGAAACCGGGGTGCTTGTGAGCGAGGTGAGCGATAAGGTTCGAGTAGCCAGTATTGGCAAGTTGCTTTCTCTCGTTACCGCACTGCTTGCAGCGATAACGGCCTTGATCGAGGGCCTCGTAGAAGTACGCGCAGATGTCCTTGTTGTTTGTCAGCATGTTTGAGGCGGGAGGTTACTTTGAAAAGTGAGCGAGCGAGGTACAAGAGGCTTCTCGACCTCACCTACTACTGTAACCAGTCGTTTTAACATCAACAAGTAAGTATGGCGTATAGATTCGACAAGATATGGTGGTGAGCGAAGCTCTGTTGTCCACCAATTCGAGTTCTGACCTGGAATTTGTATGAGCTTACTTTTGTACATTATATTGTGAAAATTGGTCCAATATGATATTATATTTTTTGCGAAAGTTGAAATAATCCGCTTTTTTATTGTGAAAAACTGATTTTAGTCGTACGGAAATTTTTTATTCAGACCCCTGCATGGCATGCAGCAGCAAGTGCTTGGCGGCGTCCTCATAGACGGTTTCTGTGTTCACTTTCTCGACGTAGCACGTGGAGAACCGTTGGTGGTGTGAGACCACGTACTTGTGTCCCATGTCTGCACAACAAGAGCACGCTTAGCGCACATAGCACCATTAAAAATACAATTCTTCATCTCCCTACCCGGATACATTTTGCATTCGTGGATGACGATCTCGCGCTGGCCAAGAGCAGTGATGACGTCAAATTCGTGCTTGCACAGCTCAGGAGGCAGCAGCGGACGCTTGCGCACGTACACGTGCATGTGGTCGCTGCCAGAGACCTCCCTATTCTCGCCGTTCTCTTCGCTATCACCCTTGACATTCGCTAGCAGGTACTTTTTGCGCAGCTCGCGCAACGTGCGTTGGAAATCCGATGCGTGTACCTTTCGCGCCGTTCTTTCAAAAAGTACAGCTATAGGTTAGTGAAGAGGGCTATGCAGACGCAGCGGGGATTCGAAGGCTCACCGCTTATCCATATTTTTGCCGGCGGGGCGCCATTCACGGTCCGGCACCATCTCGGACGCCACGTGTGCGGTGGTCTGCAAGTTCTGAAATACATGTACAATGCCTTGAAGTGGTTGCAGAATGATTGCGGACCCATAACTAAAGGGGTTACAGTTATGTGCGCCACATGAAAGACAACTGAGCATGGCATGCGATTGGCCGAAATGAATTTGAGTCACCTGAAAACCGATAGAACGAACAGAGCGTGTCTATTTGCTGAAGTTTCAACCGGTATACATAGGATGTATTTTAACCAAAATTAAACTGGTAAGGATCTAGGGTCCAAATCTAAATCCTGTTGTTCACGCAGTACCGGTACATGTGACTTTGAACACACCGGTATACCGGAAGTTTTGGCGATCTAAATGTATTAGCAGTTGTCCAATCACCGATCGCAACAGATTCAAATTTCCCGCGAAAACTTTACCAGCGATCAGTTTCCAATCAAATTTCGAAGGAGTTGCCACAAGACAGTTTCTCCATCATTCTCCCTCTTGAGAACTTATCGGCACAATGCCTTCGAGTCCTAATACTTACGTTCCTGATGTGAGCATGATATCGGCGGGCCTGGGGTCGCAGGTTGCGGCAACCAGTGTGGCCATGGCGCAGCAGGTGCAGGCGCAACAAGCGCAGGTCCAAGATCAGGTCCAAGCGCAGGTCCAAGCGCAAGTGCAGGCGGTTCAGGCGGCGACCGAGGCCGCGGCTGTGTCTTCCGGGGCCACCAGCCCAAGCCCGGCGGCCCCCGCAGCTAAGCCCAAGCGCCGGCGTCGGGCCGACGGCAGCGGTAACCTGACCGTGGAGCAGAAGCGCCGCATCTGCGAGAAGCACCGCAACACGCCCAAGATCACGCAGAAGGATTTATGCCGCTGGGCCAAGCTCGAGTTCAACCTGCAGCGCGCGCCCACGCAGCCCACGATGAGCAACATCCTCAAGCACGAGCACATGTTCAAAGACAACGTGCTGGGTGTGCTTGGCTCGCAGCGCAAGACCATCCGTCCCACGCGTCACGCTCACTTTGACCAGGTCTTGGCCAACTGGGTCATGGAGCGTCAGAACAAGGGCAACATCACGGGCGACATGATCAAGTCCAAGGGCCGAGAGCTCGTGAAGCAGATGGGCCTTGAAGGAAAGCTCGGCTTCTCCAATGGCTGGCTGGCCTCGTTCAAGGCGCGTCATGGCCTCATGAAACGCACCAACAACATGCAGAACGACAAAAGCAGCAGCAATTCGACGTCGGCCGGTAAAGACGGCACCGCCTACGGAGGCATCTTGGACGCCAACAGCGGAATGCTGCCCAACGGCCTCTCAGTGGACCCCAACTACATGTTGCCTCCAGTGTCGATGGACTTGTCGCTCGAGCAGATCCAGGAGATGCTGCGCGACTACGTGCCCAGTGACATCTACACGGTGGACGAGACCGGTTTGTTCTTCCGAGCCTCGCCCAACAAGCTCGTACAGGGCGATGAGGCCCAATCCATGCTGGCCGATGAGGCCAGGTTGACTGTACTGCTGGCCGTGAACGCCGACGCCTCGGACCTCATGGAGCCGTACATTATCGGCAACGTTGTGCCTCCAAAGAACATCAAGATGGCCTCCATCTCGCAGCTCGGCTACCACTACGTGTGCAGCAGTAAGGCGCGTATGACGGTCTTCATCTTCCAGCAGTGGCTGCGCGATTTCAACGCGCGTATGGCCAGCGCTCACCGCAATGTGGTGCTGCTAATGGACAACGCTCCGTCCCATGTACTGGGCTGTGTGGCTCTGTCGAATGTGCGTGTGGTTATGTTCGCTCCACACCTTGGAATGAAGGTACAGCCGATGCGTGGTGGCATCCTGACTGCGTTCAAGGGCAAGTTCCGTCTCAAACACCTCACGCTGGCCATTGACCACTTGGAAGACGGTCTGTCGGACATTTACCGTGTGACGCAGATCCAGGCCATGACGTGGATTGTGGATGCGTGGCAACAGACCTCAAAGGAGACGATTGTGAACGCCTGGAAGCCGTTGGGCATCACGGCGCCGTTCTCTTTGGATTCCAGTATGGAGGGTGACGACAAGAACGTGGAGGAAGAGCTCTGGGGACTGCTCTATTGCCTACAACTCAGTGGTATCGTCAACACGAAGGTGCTGGTGAACTCTCGTTGGGAGAATGACATCCACAAGCGTCTGAATGAAGACATGATCGAGGATCCCAAGGAGAACGATGAAGAGTTCCGCGTGCCTAATGCTGCTCCAGTTGAGCGATCTCGTGTGGGGGGAGCCCACTTGTCGGCCAACAACGAACAGCAGTCGGGAATCTCCGCCAAGGAGCAGCTCAAGTCGTTCCGTGACGTCATTCGTTATCTGGAACGCACCGGCTCGTCCGACACGCGGGATCCGCAGCTCATGAACGTGATCGAGTTCCTCAAGAAGAAGCAGCTCAGTCTGCGCTTCGACAACGCCAGCAACACGACGCTCACGATATAAGTCGAGCCCCTTCGCTTCGTCTCTGGCAGCTGGTGACACCGACCGAGTTCTCTTGATAATTTCTTTTGTTTTAATGCTCTGTTCAATCTTTGATACTTTGTCTAGCTATTGCGTTGCTGGTTGGCGCTATCACGTCAAGACACGGCAATTGGCGCCTTCCACCGCGCGATACGGAGCGCTCTTTTGTCTCCACAGCTAGCTCCCTGTAGGCTGTTGTCTCCTCTTCCAGGGAATTCAGCAGTCCCACAAGTCGAGCACGGAATGGCCGAGCAGCAGAACTCACTCGACTAGCTGCATTCTCGACCGAATGTAGCGAGTCTTCACGCTTGTTGTCTGCACAACCTTCCGCTGTTTTCGACGCAGGAGAAGGAAAGCCGTCGCGTCTTTCAAGCCACACTCCGTTGTCGTGAGCCGGATGGCCGTCGCCACTGCCAGTCCACCAGTTATGAATGTTGTTCATGCCAGCGTTTCTTGCGTCGCCTCGAATACTCGACAGACTTTTATAGTCGACAGCAGTAACGGGACGTGTCTGGGGAGAGCGAAGAGGTGACGGGGTACCAGGCAAAGAGACTGGCAGAATCTTTACACGAAGCACCTCCATTTCGCACCGAAGTGACCTCAGCTCGTGCTCCTTGCTCTCCAATTTCTCCTTTAAATCAGCCACAGCGTGTTGTTCCTGTCGCAAAGCTGTCAGCTTCGTCTGAAGTTGCTTCGAGAGCTTTGTCGACGCGTCTAATCGCCGACGTAAGATTTCAGTCTCGGCGTTCTCACCTTCTTGAAATTGTTGCTGTTGGCTCGTTTCCGACGCAGCTCTGCACTCATTCCTTGAGCATTCTCCTCTAGAATTTCGAGTTTCCTTTCCAACCTAGATATCGTCGCACAAGCGTCTTGCAACTCACGTTGTTGCTGATGAATAATCTGTTCCTGACTTCGATGACGCGAGTCCAGTTGCTGCTCCGTCACTTCCATCATTGCTCGAGCGACATCGTGCGCGTGCTCTTGTGTTTCGTGGTCTCGCATCATGCTCGTTAAGGCCTTTCGTAAGCTTTGCATCTCAGCACGCATCAACTCGTCTGCGATAAGGTCGTCGACGCTGCCCCCGTCAGTGTTGGCGGGGTCTTCCTTGGCAACAGCGACAGGTTCTGAGGCTGGAACATCATCGACAGGTTGCTGATTTGTGAAATAACCACCAAGGACTGACCCACGAGACTTGCAAGCATCACATCGTGTCATCTCGAGTTGACGAATGTAGCTGTGCAGGTTTTCAATCTTGTTTTGCAACGTCGTGAGTAGCTCGGGGCAGAATGCCGCAGCGCCACCATTCTCCTTATTAACGTGAGGGCTATTCTGAATATTCTTTGCCCTGGAGCCGAAGCGCAGAGTTGATAGAGTCTCTTCCAAATGTTTAGTGTTGGCAGAGCAGGTGAGCAGCAAATGTGTCTTGGCGTTTCCTCCAAGAGAAGTCTGCAACAAACGCGTCAGCTTACTGTCTCGGTACGGAACATGCTTGATCTTATCGTCGGTCAGTGCATTTATCACGTTCCCTAGAGCAGAAAGAGACTACATATCTCCCGTGTCAAACATGAACAGACGACTGCTGTACAGCTTAGCGAATCGATGCCTTACCCGGTTGATGTGCTTGGCCTCCTCCATTCGCACACCTGTTGCCGCTGTCTTTTGCACTTTCTCCGACCCAGCTAAATCCACGACGACCATTCTGCCTCGCACTTTAGTGCCACTTGCAAGGTGTTTCTTGCTGAATGTCAGGATCAATATTGCATGGCTTCGACTCGAGTCAGCGTTCATTAGAGTTGATCCGATCGATCTTTGTGCATTACCTCTCGATAGTATTGCCATCCCTCCTGCCACGGATGAGATGGCGATTTCGCTAGCGCCTTCAACACAAACCGCATGGTCTTTATCCTCTCGAAGTCGGAGAGCTCTCGAACTATGAGGAAGTAGTAGATCACGTATTTTTTCCTGGTATATCTCAACGAAGCTGGCGGTAAGTGATACATCGTACTCGGTTGAGTCGATACGAGCCATTTCTTCAAAAATCGTCTCCATTGCACGCGGGATGAGGCCTCGAGTCTCTGGCGTAAGCCCTCCGACGACTGTGTACGTCTTGCCACTTCCCGTTTGGCCATAGGCGATAATGGTGCAATTGAACCCACAAAGTAAGTCAGCGACAAAAGGTCGACCCACTGCTTCGAACATTCCTGTCTGGGCTGATTCACCTGAATACACTCCATCGAAGCACGAATATGCTGTGGCTTTATCCGTGGGTGATCCAATGGTTGATGGCATCACTACAATTCGTCGGGCTGAGGTATCCACACTCACACAAGAAGAACAATTCCCTGGACTAGTCTCATGGCGAACTCGACAACTAACCTGAATACCTCGGGTTGTCATAGACTCCTCAAACAAGAACGTTTCTAAACTTGTACGGCAGGCTGGCACCCCGAAAAAAAACGGGTTGCTTAATGGAGCGACTCGGTAACCAATAAAACTGGTCAATTATAAACACAGTAGGTCACGGATACTAATGGGTCCGTTCGCTGCGCTGGCCTGCGACTACGCCCGCTCATCAGCGAACGGTGACCTAATCGTCTTATTTTTTGTATGGGAACTTCCCATTGGGAAGGTGTGACCAAGTGTCAAATTTGACCAGTTTTATTGGCTTAAGATACTGAAAGAGAAGGATAGTGAGACCAAAAGCAAAACGGCGTCGGATACTAGAAATTGTAGGTGCAATAAAGACCTGCATCTTATGAATGCGAGCACGCCACGTTTGAGGCCAGAAGTATTTGACCGACTTTTATGCTCAGCTTGATCTCATTGCGTGTAGGCGTGTAAATGAAGCATGGGGATCCCATCCCATTGGGATATAATAGCGGGTGTGTGCGGGTGCTTTTTTTTCGATTCGCTCGAGGCATGGCGTGGCAATGGACGTGGGAAGGATGTTACGTCAAATTTTGATAACTCATATATCTGCCATTTAGACGATATACCCAGTCGAGGCATGTCGCGCTGGACAAATAGTCCTTGTATCTGATTGTTTGCGATCTACAAATAAACCCTACTTCTCGAACATTGCAAAAGAAACTCGGTGGAATGAAGCGACTCATTACACACAGGCCCATTTGCCGTGCTGCAATCGTGTTTCACACGTCTTTACTTACAGTACGTTTCCCAGTGGGCCAGTTTGGTTGACAGCTATTATAGTCAGACCACCGCATTCCTAAAACTGCTACATGAACTCTATTGATTTAACATCGGGGCCGATGGTCTTGTCGGCCGACAATGTCGATTTTCAAGCCGGACGATGCCTCAACTCTCTTTGCCGTGAGCACAATAGGGGTTCTCAATTGTGCAGCAAGTAGATTTTTTTTGGTTGGCCGGCGTTTCATGCAACACCTTTTCAGCCAATCAAACACTTCGTAATTGAGGGCCCCGTTGCAGGTTTTTGTCAGTGCTGCAGCAAGTAGACTTTTACTTGGCGCCGACTCCGAGATCTTCGCAGAAGCAGATCCAGCATGCCAAAGTTGTCAGCTAAGCAGCGTAAGCTGCGAGAGCTACGAGAAATTATCGCCCAGCGGGAAGCCGCTGCTATCAACAGGGAGATACTTAGCGACGAGGACTCGGGAGAGGACGAGGTGGACGAGTACTGGGAAATTGAATACCTGCGTGCACAAGCAGCCAGATACGGTGCCCGGGCTTCTCATTATCGGCGTCGCAAAACGAAATGGCCAAAGATTCTACACAACCACCAACATACCAGCGACAGTGAGTTTCTCAAGCACTTTCGTCTCCAACGCCCCGAGTTTTTCCGTCTTGTAGCACTTGTGAAGGATGACCCCGTCTTTAAGACAAAGGGCGGAATGCCATTTAAAGGCGGAGCGTGTCTCCACTTAATGGTTTTGATTAAGTTCCTAGGAGCATATGGGAATGCCAATACTGCCCTTGATATTGGTAAATTTCTGGGGTTTGCGGAAGGTGGGTTCTACAACTATCTCGATAGAGCTGTCAGTTCAATTTTGAAACTTGAGGAGTCGACGATTACGTGGCCGAATGCGGTCGAGCGTCGCGAAATCGCTCATCGAATGAAAGCTAACTACGGCTTTGTAAATTGCGTTGGTATCACTGATGGCACCCTGCTACCTCTAGCAACGAAACCGCGGCACAATGGCGAGGATTACTACAGCAGGAAGTCGTCGTACGCCGTCAACGCACTAGTGACTGGCTTTCGTCCGTGGTGATCACCTCTTGCACCGGGCTTGCCGGTGTCGCGGACTGCTGTTTAGGAGCAGTCATGCTCACCAGAGCACAGTGGGGCACACGTCGCGTTTTTTTGAATGGGGTGCGATCTTCGGCCGGTGCCAGCAAAAAAAAATCTTCTTGCTGCAAGCCGTCCTGCATCGATTTTGATGCAGAACGGGAAAAATGTGCTTGGCCAATCAGATGACCGGAAAAAAATTCTACTTGCTGCACGAAAAAAAAGGCCGATGCTACAGTCCATGCGTCGACTCAGTTTATTTTTCATGTAATACTCCATGTAATGTCCATGTGTCGAAATAAATTACTTACCACTGTTTTTAAAATCCATAGTGAATGGAAGTTGTTAGACCTTCGCAAACGAAAGTCCTCTGACATCTCTCGTACATACCGGTATACAGAAGTCAGGAGGTCAACCATACGCATGAACATTAGGCGGGTCGATTCCAGTTTGCGCGAGAAGGGGAATGGCAGACGATCGCTAAGCACGGTGCTGGGTGGTCCACATACCACAGAACCAAAAAAATGCTGGGCCTATAAATTGATAATGAGCTATTTAGCTCTGTGACTGGCTACCGTTCTGCACTCTTATTGGCTGATAAGGGTCATCGGTCTTCAACTCGATGTACAGTCATAGATCATCCAGTTTTTCAAAGACAAGCCTTCGCTTTGTGCTGCTATCATAAACTATTGTGCTGCCCAACTTTTGATGTGCTGCAACAGACTTAAGGTGCCGACAATGTATTGTGAAAGTGACGCGTTCTCGCCAGCTACATAATACGTGTCAGGCTGTGCAGATAAGCATG